TTTTTTTAAAAAAATCCAGCACTTAAATTAAAAAATGCATGCAATCCCTTTGACCCTCACCCTGTTCAAAACTCTTTCTCTCTCCCTCTCTTTTTCTCTGTCTTTCTCTCTCTCTCACACACACACACACACCCCTCCTTTAGCTCACCTTTTAGTTCTTGCAAGCGCTCACCTTGGACGTTTCCAGCCCAGGCTACCTCGCAGGGCTCCACGGGTGACTTGAGAGCAGCCGGGCGCTTCGCGGGGAAGGAAAGCTGAGTTAGCAAAAACAGAGAGAGAGAGAGAACCGATGCCCGCTTTCGATTCCTCCCCGTCTTACCGGGACGAAAAGAGGAGCAAAACTTCGGAGGGAAGCCAGACCGTGCCAGGAGGAGCCGAAAAACTTCAAAGCCTGCCCGATCTCGCTTTTTTTTTTTTGCCCACCCCCCTTACCTAAACTTTCCCTCGGATCCCACAGTCCTCTTCCGCGTCCGCCAGCAGCTCTCCGCTCCCCTCCGCCTCCGCTTCTTAGCTCGGGCTCCCTCCGGGCATCCTTGGCCGGACTCGGGCTGGGAAGCCAGTAGCGCTTTCCAAGCGAGGAAGCAGCAGCAGCAGCCGCCTCCGCCGCGGCCCCGGCCCGAAAGAGGCTCCCGCAAGGCCGGCGGGCGCGGAGAGCAGGGCGGGCGCCTGTTGGCGAAGCGGGGCTGGGCAGAGGCGAGGGAACGGGCGAAGGGAACGGGCGCCGCATCAGCCGCCGCCGCCGCCGCCTTCTGCCCACCCAGCCACCCCGCTTGGCTCGCCGTCCTTCTCCCGCTCGGCGCTCCGGCAGTTCCGGGGCGGTGGCCGGCCAGGCTGCCCGCCCTCGAAGGAGGACGGCCGTCTCCGCCCCTGGGTAGAGGGAGGCGGGAAGGGCGGACGGGCGGGCTGGCCGGCGGAGGAGCGCCAACGCGCCCACTCTCCTCCGCCTTGGCGCTCCCTCGCCAGATCCGCTCCGAGCGATGCTGGCTCGAACCTGCCTGCCCGCCAGACGCGCTGGGTCCATGGCCAGAGCCTGTTGCGCCCGTTCGGCACGTGCGGAGGAAGCTGCGGGGCGGCCAGCGAGGTTCCCAAAAAAGGGGCTGAGACCGCCACGATGCGATGGAAGGGAAGGCAGTAGGATTAGGATGGGATGGAATAGGAAAGAAGGGAATGTAGAATAGAATAGAATAGAATAGAATAGGAGTAGGGTAGAATAGGAGTGGAGAAGGAGTAGAGTAGAATAGAATAAAGAGTAGAGTAGGAGTAGCAGCAGGAGTAGGAGTAGAGTAGAATGGAATAGGAAAGAAAAGAAAATGTAGAATAGAATAGGAGTAGGGTACAATAGAGTAGAATAGAATAAGAGTGGAGAAGTAAAGTAGAATAGAATAGAGAGTAGCAGCAGGAGTAGGAGTAGAGTAGAATGAGATGGAATAGGAAAGAATGGAATAGAAAAGAAAATATAGAATAGGAGTAGGGTAGAATAGGAGTGGAGAAGGAGTAGAGTAGAATAAAATAAAGAGTAGAGTAGGAGTAGCAGCAGGAGTAGGAGTAGAGTAGAATGGAATAGGAAAGAAAAGAAAATGTAGACTAGAATAGGAGTAGGGTAGAATAGGAGTGGAGAAGGAGTAGAGTAGAATAAAATAAAGAGTAGAGTAGGAGTAGCAGCAGGAGTAGGAGTAGAGTAGAATGG